CATCGGACATGAAGACATGATATGCTTCAAAACTTCTCAAAACGCTGGTGAATTGTTTGTTTGTCCTGAAGTGGTCGGAATTTGACGTAAGCCTCGTTAGTTTAATAGTATACTTATTCGTAATTGCATACAAAGATACCAAGAAAGGTGGTCGGTTATGAATCCTGGTGACTAGAAGTACGAAACATTACCGAAGGCTAAGTAATTGTTATTAAAACTTAAAGGCCAATATATAGCAAAGTTTTTATGATATAATATCAATTGAGAGACGACTGGCCAACTTGCTGTCGGCGTTCTATCGGGCAATCTGACAGTGTTTCCCACTGAAAGACATAATTGATGTGATGACCACGCTCAAGGTAGTAATCTAAACATCAATCTCGTCTGGAAGCACTCTTGATAAAAGTGATAGCAGTCGACGTGAAAGTTTAGATATCACTAATCATTATTGAAGTATGTGTGCTTATTGAATGTTTTAAGTTTTCATCCTCAGCGTTTTGTACAGAGACCACCAATAGACCTTTATCATGCCTCGTTTTTGAGACACCGAAAGCGAGATTCATAACACGAATTACGTCATAAATAAATAAGATGGCGACGTCCTTTGAGTATAGATGAATATCCAATTTGACGTCATTAAAAATTCACTCATCAGCAAGAAGAGAATGCCCTTTCTCGGAAATGTGTGACGGTCATGTAAAGGATCATTAAACAGCGTGATTTATGACGTCATAAAACACAAGCATAATTGAAAATTGGAATGGTCCAATTTGTTGCTATCGGTGTCTCCGAGACACAATTTTTTTACAACCAGATGTGTTTGGTTTATATCGTTTGCTTTCAATGGTATAAATTAAAGGGAGATAACGCATTTGGCATTTAGCAGAACCGTACCAAAACAATTTCGTCAATTTAGTCTAGACGCTGTTTACATGTCAACCCTTGGATCTCTTTCACTGAGCGTAATTGCACCATTCTATTCAAACGTTTATGGTTATTTCAAATAGAAACGGTCTGGACCGTGACGTCACTGGATTTAAAGTCCAAATATGAACCAGAATGTCCCCAATGCGCATATACAAGTCTTACCCTTCCCCCATTCTACCCCGTGGAGGCGGGGGGAGGGGAATAAGTAACTAAAACAACAAGTACGATTGTTCAAATAAATATATTGAAATTAAAACATAGTTTCTGATTGTAGAAATTGTAAGAAATACGGATATAAAAGTTGCAAGAAAAACGAGTGTCAAATTGAATAAAAAAACGGATGTTAAAATTGGGAGCAGATAAAAAAAGTTAAAATGCAAAATCGGATGTAACAAATTAAAGGCTTAACCGGATGAAGTCGTAAAACAAAACAAAACGTAAATACGACTTAAACGGATAAACAAGAATTGGAATGCAAATACGGATATAAATGTTTGAAGGCAAAACCGGATGTAAAGTAAAAGTTTGAAGGTAAAATCGAATATAAAACTTAGGAATACAATTCTGTGTTTAGAAATTGAATTACAATAACCTATATAAAACACAAAAATATAAAACCGGCTAAAGTTGGGAGACAAGACCGGATGTAAACATTGGAAGACAAAAAACGTATATAATATTGACTACAAATCTTTTAAAATTGGAATCCAAAACCATGAATACAAAATTGATATTGAAAAATGGATAAAAACTAAAATACAAAACTGAATAAAGTTGGAAGACAAGACCGGCTGTAACATTGGAAGACAAAAACCATATAAGCTAGACTACAAATCTGTTTAAAATTGGAATACAAAACCGGATATAAAAATCGATATTGAAAAATGGATAAAAACTAAAATACAAAACCGGATATAAAAGTTGAAAGACGACACCGGATAATACAAAAACGGAAAGCAACTCCTCAAGAAAATAAAAAAAAGGAAAAAGGCTTTCTTTAGAAACTGGATATATATTAAAGTACAAAACTGGAAGAAAGAGTTATTTTAAATTGACTCATTCAATAATAAGAGTTTTTGTTTTGGGTTTTCCAATAATATCAATAGAGGGAGTAATCATCGTTTTAGGAACTTCAGATACGTATAACCTTATTTTAAAACAGTCCTATTTTCAAAACTTTTCCAACAAGGGTAACGTGATGGTGCTGTTTTATTTAGACAATTACGAAGATGTCACTCCCGAAATTGTTATGAATAAATTGACAAGGACGACATGGTTCTTGGAATATTGTCAAGCAGTTGGTTGTAGGCCAAACCGATGGCAATATTGTGTAAACTTTTTAGATGTGGACTAATGAAGATGGATGGCTCATTGATATGTCACCAGTCTTTATCAAATATGTAATTGCAAACAAATATGATAGACAATGTGATAAAAACCTGTCGAAATTTTTTGGTTTAAACGAAATCAATAAATAATATAATATAAAATATCAATAAATTCAAAAAACAAACAAACACGGTAGGCCAAACTATATTTCTTCAGTAATTTAAAAAAAATGTGAATATTTGACTAAATAAATGAAATAGCCTTCAACCATACAATCCACTTTGGTGTTAGATATCAAAATCTACCCTTTGTTTACAGTGACGTTTCTACGAGGACTGAGGCAGACATTCTGCATACCTTACTCCCTCTCTCGATTGACCACTCATAGAAATGTCACTGCCATTACAATATGTCTTTAGAGGCTTGTAAAGAGGTGTTTTAAAATTTTATGTGTATCTGTGTATGTGTATTATGGGACACTGATAGCATCAATTTACAACATCCCAATTTTCAATCAGACATCTGTGATTCCTGCAATTCCATTAAAGCTAAGCGTCTGATGATGTCACTTATCGCTACATGGATCAAACAAGGCCCTTTAGTGACGTCACCAGTGTCCCCGATACACATAAAATCCTTTTAAATTCTCGAGATTCGGAAGCAAAATAATTTCTCTAAAACATCTCACTGTACCCTATGCAGTGGTTACTCGTAACGCTTTTCAAACTTAAAATTTACCAACCGGTTTGTCTTTAATGACGCAGATCTCGTCAAATCGGAGTTATATTTCAAGTTTGATAATCTAATATGCAGAATTTTCATAATTGTCATTGATCTGACGGAGTTGAATGCTGACAGACAAGCTCATGCAGTCTACATTGGAGTCATCGGGAGGAATGTTGTAAAAGACCACACGTTCGAGTTCCTCTTCTGGTGGATAGAAACCAAGCTCGTCCGTTTCATCTTCCTTTTCTAGCTGGTTCTCCGGAGAGGAACTTTCCGAGATATTGTTAATCCTTAGAGGAGCTAAGGAATGGTAGCCCGAATCTAGTCTGTTGTAACTCTGTTGGTATGGATAACCAAATCTTTCCGAAAACCAATGCACATGGCAAGATTCATATCGAGCTGCTCGAAGCACAGAGTATTGTAAATTAGTAAAGTTGTTCTCATCAGACGCTGTTGCGGCTACTGAGGAACCACTCAAGTTTTTCATAAAGCACAAGAAGTCTCGTAATCCGTCAACTAATGTGAAATGATGCGGTGTCGGTAAACCAGTAATAGTGGTATACTCCCTCGGGGTGTAACTAAATGAAACCGTTATATACTTATCCAGTGTAAGTTCCTTAGAAGACGCTTTAAGTACTTGTCTCAACATCGGCACATAGAGGTGACCAGTTTCTGTGAGCTGTTGAATGTTATATGTATCCCGTCTCAAAGACGCCTGTATCAGCTTTGCAGCTGCTTCCGATGTGACAAGTAACACGAAGTCCACACTATCCAAGCACTGTACTATCCATTTCTTCCAGTTTACTCGGCATATCTGATTGATATGCCTCGGGGGGTAAATCACACTAAGTCCACAGTATTGATCAAGGATGTTCAGTAGCTCTTTGATGACCTCGAGATGATGGCAATGATCATCTGCATTTAACACCAAGATTGATTTCCGGGTATCTGCTGGATCTAAAAATAGAAAATGTGCGTGATCTGTCATAGTGCACATCTGGAAGTCAAACTACATTTGGATTTTAGTTTCGTCTGTGTCATCCAAATTTAATCAATTTGTGGTATAGAACTAGTTCAATTCTTCCTTGTAAGTAACCTATAATAAGTCATTGTATCAAATTCAATAAATTTTTGTTGTAACCAACCCACAGCCGGATTTGCGTATTGGTATTTGTGTATAATCAAGGATTGTGAATTGGCCTCAACATAATTTTCACAGAAATATTACGCCGGATTTTAGCTTGAATTGAATTATATCTTACAGGGGTTTTGCTATACATGTTATATGTATTTGAGACACTGATACACTGACTTGCACCATTCCAATTTTCAGTCAGATGCCTTGCAAGAGTTTTATGAGGTAGCTACTGCAAAGACCCTGAGATATTTAAAGAAGAAAATTGGACTAGTGCAAATAGTATCCGTTAAACGAAAACCCTTCACAACCCCTTTGAGACAGTGAGAGACACTTTTAGAGAACTACACCCCTTCAATTTTTTGAAAAATCAAAAAGAAATCGGTTACCTACCTTGGGACATGGTGCCCATTTCAATCACGGGATTTGCTGTAGTTCGATTAGCACCTAAAATACAATATCCATTCAAATTCTACCACTGTACAAGTAAAACTACACCATGATTGTGAATGAATATAAACTTTACCATTTGAATACAAGTGTATAAAGGGAAATAGAATACGGATGTCGACTTTCAAATTGTGTAGGTCTAGCGTGAATCCCACACTTGACGTCATTTGAGGTGAGGCGAGCATCCTGAACGTAAATTTTATATTTAGAATAAAGAGATATGACGGGTTTCCCGTTTGATTAAAATGCACCTTATCTATATGCAAGTATGTAGTGAAGCATTAAATTTCCCTTAAAGAGATTGTAAAGAGGTTTTCGTCATTATTTATGTGTATCGCTGACACTGATAGCATCAATTTGCACCAATCGTATTTTCAATCAGACGTATGCGGTTCCTGCTATACCACTAAAATAAAGTGTATGATGACCTTACTAATGGCAAAATATGCTGATATACGGTCCTTCGCTCAATGGCCAACTGCGCCTGGAATAACAGCTAGTAATGCAAATATTCAGACGCCATTTGGAAAGTTAATTAAGCGAAAGTGACTTACTCTGCATGTGTGCTTTCCATAATAGTATTGATATGCTGCCAAACACAATAACACACACAAAAAATACCAAAACAATGACCACCATTTCCTCGCTATTCTTTCCTGTACCTTTTGGTGCTATTATCTCTGACTCCATCTCTTCATCGGGTCCTATAACATGTGAGGTTATCGGTGTAAAGAAGTGGCATTTCATAAGCATCTGTTCCTGAGGACGGGAGGCTTTGTGCTTGCGAAACATGGTGAACCTAAGACCATAGTAGAAAAAATGTTATTAATCACTAAGGAGAGATCTACAGAATGTGCTATAACGAACTTTGTCTTATACTTTGACTGCATTATTCATTTTTCTTGTACCACAAAAGTTTTTGAATTCTGTGGTTTGATTGGATTATACACTATATAGCAGTCAAGCAGATCCCTCCACGTGAAGACTGCTGCTCATATAATTGGGGGGTTCTGATTGGCTATATTCACTAGCATAGAACCCAATCAAATCGCTGCATTTACATACTTCCGTAATATACGAAAAGTGCTTAATGATGTCAAGGTATTAGACCTAGTTTGTAATAGCTTGACATTTTGAAGATATCAATACCTGGAGTTGTCGTTGTATTCAAGGACATTAGTTTGTCATCTTCCAACGAAGCACCCGTTGTTTTCATCTGTTTACCAGGTAAGTTGAAAGTATTTTGAGAAGCGGCTGTTGTTTTCACCTGTTTACCAGGTACGTTGAAAGTATTTTGAGAAGCGGCTGTTGTTTTCATCTGTTTACCAGGTAAGTTGAAAGTATTTTGAGAAGCGGCTGTTGTTTTCATCTGTTTACCAGGTAAGTTGAAAGTATTTTGAGAAGCGGCTGTTGTTTTCACCTGTTTACCAGGTACGTTGAAAGTATTTTGAGAAGCGGCTGTTGTTTTCACCTGTTTACCAGGTACGTTGAAAGTATTTTGAGAAGCGGCTGTTGTTTTCACCTGCTTACCGGGTACGTTGAAAAGTGCTGTTTGAGATGTAGTACATATTTCGCACTCCCGGCTTTCACCTTCCATCATAAAACATAAACATAGCTGACGTTCATTCCTAAATGGATCTTGAGGCGTTACCTTAAAGTTGAAATTGAAAATGGACATTTTACGTCCTAATAATATTTAAAAATTAAATGTAATTGAGTTTTGAAAAAACCCTTACCATGCAGTGTACAATGAAATTGATGTTGCCATGATAACGGCAATGATAGATCATAACGTCCTTATCGAATGTATTAATCTATGAGTTTTACAAACCTGTATCAGATAAGTTCCAGCTTCGACGTCTTTGAAACTTACTTTACCATGGGTAGGATCTTTGGATTGACTCTGAAAATGGCAAAAATAGATCAATTTTTTGTCAATTTCACTCTTTCTAAGCCAGCCTCTTCGACCTGTATTATCTAGAAACCAGGTTCAAATTTGAAGCTAGGAAACTCCATTTTTTGTACTTTGAGGCATATTAAAATCGACCATGAAATTTCGGTTAAGAACCACTCACTTCAGTTGAAGCCGTTGGCCTTATTCAGCAATGATTCGATAGGTTCTAGTACCTTCAAAACTGTTTTAGAACAGGTAAACATGTCTTTGTCCACTAAGTCCTCCTCTATCAAATCAACGATGAACTTTTCCATTTTGAATTCACCGAAATTAAAAGTGACCTGGACTTCATCGTTATTTACCACTCGGAATATTATATACGTTGTCCAGACCGCAGACGAACGAGGGTCGTGATCATCTGAAACACAATACCACCATATTATTCGTCAACTTATGTCCAACCTTGACATGTATTCTCGGAACTATCTTAGCGCTAGGATGTCCTAGAATCAATGTTAGAAGATAAGAAACTAGGACATCCTGACGCTAAGATTGTTTCGAGATCACGTGACCTTGAGTCCAAAAACAAACGGGTTGTTTGTATGTGTTCATATGCACAAAAAAAGTCGTAAGAAGAAACATGTTGATTGGCGGTTTGGAAGATCAATGCCTTTCAAGTTGTTTATTTTTTGCTGCATTGGTTACACCCAACAATTATAGAAAATACGTCTGCTTGGCCGCCAGTCTGGATTATATAATAGACGAAGGCGATATAATTATTAGACAAATGATATATATATATATATTTATCTGAAAAAACGCGCATGCGTCCATTCAGAATTTCATAGATGTATACCCACTTCCCAGAGGTAACTAATATTGTCGAGCTTTTAAGTCAAGAGATCGAGATGCGCCAAGAACTTGAAAATACAAATCGAGATTCTAGGTCTTATACCTTGACACCTGTTCTTATATATTTTTACGAAACAAAAATAAAGTCCATTTACTTCTGCAAATCAAAACAAAGTTCACAACGCAGAAGAGTACAATCCAATCGAAATTCAGACTTCCGTGATACAAGAAAATTGCACATTGAAGTCAAGGTATAAGACGAAGTCCGTTGTACGGTGACATTGTCCAAATAGGCTGAAATATACAAAATACAAGTAGATACCTACAGTCATGGTAGTCACTCATACTAGGTGTTGCCACTTGTATGGTTTGAGCCATTTCAAAATTTTCTCCAGATCGTGGTAAACTCCAAATAACGATAAAGTATGTGGTGAAATCCTTGACCTTGTCCACGGTATACTGAAATAAAGCCTGCAATACAGAGATTTAGTTTTTGGTGTATACAGAAATCAAGTAGAAACGATCCGAATCGCAAAACGTTACAACATTTTGACGAAATAATGGTAGCAGCTAATGGACTTTTCACATGAGGAAGTAATTAAATATAAATGAAATGAAATGGAGTTTTACACCTTACTTCTCTGCTCCAGTTCGGGCTAATGATGACAGGCTTTTCTATAGCTCACAAGGCCCTGATTCAGTCAGTTTCATTAGAATTGGTTTAGAATTTTGTTTCCTCATTTTGCTGATATTTACAACTCCGTTATAATCTTAACACTTTTCTACCACACTTCTAAGAAAGTGATTTTTAACCATCAAAGCGTGTCACGTAATTCTCGTTTCTTGACAAAATTGACAAACGGCGAATCCCATAGAATTTGTCATATTGTCTACTTTGGGGTTTTCTATCAACCCTCAGGGAAAAAAGCTCGATCCTTAAAATATATATACCCCCTTATCGTTCGGCATCAGACCATCCTCCATCATAAATAGTCGACAATCAATAGATGGTTTGAGTTCGGGTGATGAAATTCGCAGCAGAAAACCCTTTAAATTCCGCAGTGCTGTTGCTGAAAGATTCATTATGGCATGATAATTCAAGACGAAAAAAGTTGGGATATTCAAGGTCAAGTCCAGTCCACATTTTATGTAGTTAAATCGGGAATTGTTTCTAACTATCTAAGACTAATTAATTAAATAAACTGCGTGCATTCCATCATTCGGTAAGTCTCGGCAGTTTCCGTAAAGCTGCTTCTTGCAGAACCCAAGCAGGACTTTCATGGTAGACCGTTTGACCACGTGCTGTTGAAACCTTTGTTTTGTCATGTATTTGTTCTATGTGATATGTACTTATAAAAAAAAACGCTTAATCTTGATATTAAGCGTTTATCAATAGTTAATTGCATATTTATGGATAATTACTATGTTTTTTGGATTTATTGGATTAAATAAGGATCCTGTTATGTTATTTATGACACCTAGTATATCTACTGATGAATATGTACTCTTATTGGCCAAGTTTAAAATTCTTAAATATTATGTTCATTCTAAGACGTAGTATTTCTTTAACAACATTTCTGCCGTTTGGCATACCACGTGTTGATGAAACTTTGTTTTGTCATGTATTTTGTTCTGTGTGATATGACACATGTATATAAGTGTATATGATCGTTGCTTAACAACACTTCTGCTAACGGAAAAGGGAAATAATTCCAACCTGATTTTGGTGGCGTCCATGTTATGTTGAGATTCGCATACCATTCATCCGGCCCTTCCTTCAAGTAAGACGTGGCAAATATTGTTGCCGGTTTTTCAACAGACATTTGAAAATTATCAGGAACTACCTGTATTTGATCATCTGGTCTGCATCCTGTGACAAAAAAAATGAAAATCAATGCCACGGGTAAGATGTTCGCTTCATCATTCACAAAAAGCTGTCAAACCATCTCTTCCCTAGAAAGAAATATCTACGCATATTTCATAACTATTAGAAACATTGTGTGCCTCTTCATCTGTTCCGTAACCGGTTACGGATTAATTATGGAAATCAAGGCCATAGGTTCGCTCTATCTGCACCCGAAAGAAATTTTGGGCCCATTCACAAACCGTTGTCAAACCACCTCTTCCCTAGAACGGAATAATTACGCATATTTCATTACTATTAGGAACTTTATCTGCCTCTTCATCTGTTTCGCAACTTGTTACAGATTAATTATGAAAATAATTGCCAAAGATTAGAAATTAACTCTATACATGTTGAAAAAATACAATTGGGCCCAAGCAAACTATCTCGTCTATAGAACTGAATAACTTCGCATTCTTATCACTATCGACAATTATCTGTGCCTCTTCATCTGTTCTGCATCCTATCAAAGCCACCGGTGAGCAATCTGTTTCTTAATGAAGTATTGGGACCTACCCGGCCCATTTTAAACTCCGTCTTGACATTGTGAAGATGAGCACAGGCATGAAAGTCTGGGAATACTATCAACGTCTGTCTTCCTGAAATCCAAATTCTCAGTGCTTGATTAAGCTAATGGATACGGACAACGTCAATGCACAAGTGCGTAATGAACTTTTTAAAATAAGGCCTCTGTTTATTATCCCATGCGAACGACAGAACGCTTTTTTATGCCAGCCCCTCTGACTAGTATCAAAACAGAGATTGACTGTCTGCAAGTCTGCAAGCAAAAGTCTATCTCACTGAGCCATTCCGTCCCATATTCTTGTAATCGGAATCGTACTCACCTTCGCTATATTCTAAACATTCCAATTTCCTCTGAAATACAAAATAGTTATAAATATGTCATCATCTTTTGAAAAGTCCATGGTACTTTAAAGGAAAAGAAAAATAGACGAACGAATCGAAAGACAACACCCACAAAAGCAAATTGTTAAAATCGGGGCAAATATAAAATGAATAATGAAAATTAAAATGGCGAAAATCGTTCTTATTGGGTCACCAATACATATATATACTTTCACAAACTTCTTTAAAAAAATTACAATCCATTTATCATCTCAACGATGCATTTGCCTGTTTTCTTTAGCCCACATGTTGCAGAAAACTAGGACGTAAAACTCCATTCATTTCATTTCAGTTTTCATTTGAGTTCCGGACAATGAGCTTTTCGACATGTCATCGACTTTACATTGTTCTTTATTATGAACCACAAACCGATCTAAAGGGTATTCAACTATCAAAACATGTTTTGGAAATAAAGGTACTTAGTGGCGGATTACCTATAGGCAAACTAGGTAGCTGCCTTTCGGCCCATGACAAATTTCATAACAGTAAAAATTATCAAACAGTTAATAAATTTCCGCAGGACCTTCGAAAATTGTCCTACTAGGAGCGTGATGTGTGAGAATCGACTAAATTATTTGAGCCTACTGGTGATGAATGCCGATATCGTGTATACGATTGATGCCGATGAGCTGATTGATCTGTTCCTGAAAAAAAGATCGCAAACTTCCTGCTATAAAATTGTAATCACACCATGCCCTCTCCCTAAAATGAGAAATTAGGCCCTCTACCGTTCGTTTGCCTAAGGTCCAACAAGTGTAAAATCCGCCACTGTTTAACCTCTTACCTCCTTGTGTAAATTTGAAACTTCCAGATTGCACGGACGGGAGGAAAACACGCCAGTAGCTTCTCGCCATGACAAACACAACATATATATAAACAAAACATTGGTCATATTGAACTTATGTCATTCAGTCATTCCCCAATTTACGCCAATTTAAACATCCTTTTGTTATAATTTATATTTATATGCATTTCGATATGCAGGGTGGCTCGTAAAAATATACCAATTGTGGTCCACATAATATACCAATTGTGGTCTATGTAATATACCAGTTGTGATCCATATAAATATACCAGTTGTGGTCCACATAATATACCAGTTGTGATCCATATAAATATACCAGTTGTGGTCCACATAATATACCAATTGTGGTCCACATAATATACCAATTGTAGTCCATGTAATATACCAATTGTGGTCCACATAATATACCAATTGTAGTCCATATAATATACCAATTGTGGTCCACATAATATACCAATTGTGATCCACATAATATACCAATTGTAGTCCATATAATATACCAATTGTGGTCCACATAATATACCAATTGTGGTCCACATAATATACCAATTGTAGTCCATATAATATACCAGTTGTTGTCTTAAAAATAATTTTCTGATAGTACTTTTCCCATGAAATGAAGAGTTTTCTTTAACAACTTCAGACGAGCTATTAACAAGATTTCACGTTTGTGTGCATTGCACCGCACACTTTGGCAAAAATCAAATTTTTATGTTCACCAACAGTTTAACTAGATCAAGTTTACAAAGATCAAACGTATACAAAGAAAACTAGTGAGGTTTTTATAGACCACCCTTGAAATATGTATACCGGAAGTTACTCATATCTCATTCATGTCAAGGGTCAGATTTGGGCTAGGAAGTAAAATGATCAATTTGAAAGAAGAGGGTTTAACGTACTATCACTTCCCGTTGAACCAATTCATTTGTTCATAGTACACTGCTCAACAGCTGGCCCATTTAATTCCAAGTTTGAACTCTTGAACTCGGTTTTTTTTTCCGTTGACATGAGACAATAGACCCGACTTCTGAACCGAAGAGAATCGCTTCCGGGCCTCATTCTCGAAAACTTAATTTAAGGTGATTGTCGTGTTGCAATCACCTGATTGGTCAATTACTAAAACTGATTTTAAATTTGGTTTTATTATCCAATCAGATTACTGTATTTGTTTAAAATCTTGATTATTTATGTTTTGAAGAATAAGGTTCCAGTTGAGAAATAATTATTATGCTCGTATTTTGGGGGTGTTATAGCTCACGGGGTTAGAATGCTTTTGAATGATTTGTCGTCATAATGTGCCTTTTAACGTCGTCAAAATGTCCCAATTTCGTCTGCTGTCTGTTTCAGTCATATATACGCTTTTACGTCATGACTTATATAATTGGTGTAATTTTATTGTACATTGTAGTCGTCTGGGTACAGGTAAGACAGTACGCTGCTTCCGGGGATGTATCTCTCTGGGTGGCGTTACTGTGCCATTTTAGGAAAATGGGGCGACGACGAAGTTGTTGTTTGTATGAAGATTTCCCATCGGGCAATGCCTTAATACTACTGAGACCTAGCCGTGGAACATTGGTGAGCAGGGGTATCCTAAATTTCTTTAATTTGATCGAAAACCGAGCAATGGTATTGGTGCAGGATCAAACAATTTGTGGTCGTTGGATCATTTAGTATCGAGCGTGAAGATATTTTCAGATTTTCTTTTAACTTGCTTCTTTACGTCAATGATCCAGGTCAAAGTCTGACTTTGGAATAGCACATTGTCGCTTGGATGGGACTATCAAGCGAAGTTCTTTGGTTCTTTCTACAGATATGTGTACATTAAAGATCCCCCAACAGTTGACCCTTGGACGTTGAACTCTATTTCATCTGATTTCACAATCACTACGCCTATGCATGTCACCGTGTTTCTGATCTATTTCTAAATTTAGTAATTTCTTTCGACAACCTTGAGCAATAATTTGATAATCCTGTGAATTATCCGTAATTGAACCTTGGACAACTTATTCTATTTCACAATATTTTGAAAAATTACCCCAAAATAATACCATTGTAATTCTAAACCTATCACATGGAGTATCTCGTGATTCTGGTTCTATACGACAAACATCCGATGCCCACGTATTGTACCCTGGCCCTAGGACGTCCTGTTTTACGCCTTGCATAATTACTGACGGATATTGCAACAGCAGTGTCCGATTTATTACAATTGTATTGACTACTTTCGTTTGGACATGTTATTCACAGTATGCAGAGCCAAGATGTCAAAATTTAAGCTTACTACAAGTGTAAAAGAAATATACGATCGTAGCTCTCGCATCGATCTTGCCAAAAGAAATCGTATGGTTTCGACATGGTTACGACAAGAATCATGCACGTTAGCGTAGAGTCATTTTGTTTCGGCGACTACTGACAGTTTTACCATGTTGGCCCGAAGCTACAGTCCCTGAAAAAATGGATTTCCCCCCTGTCAAAATTCTGACACCTAACCACCATACATCATTCCCCCACCAGATATATTACTTGTCCCTCCAAACAATCAAGTCTGAATACGGGCCTGCCTCTAATCAGTTGTAAGGAGCCAATGTGGCTCAGTGAGTTAGACGCTTGCTCGCTAACCTGGGAGTCCAGAGTTCAATCCCGACATTTTTCAACCCGGTAAGTGATGTAGGTAAGAGGGGCTGACATGGAAAAAGCGTCTAGTCGTTCTGATGGGACAATAAACCGAGGTCCTAAAGGCTGTGCACGTTAAAGATCCATCGACAGTTGAAAATCGAATTGTTTCTGGCAAAATTTCCCTCATTGCACCCTGCATGGCGTTGCCCGTCTTCATTAGTCCACATGGTGCAGAAAAGTAGGACGTAAAACTCCATTCATTTTATTTCTAACCGGTTGCATGAGAAAGCAATAGACCGGCTGGTTGTAATATCTGAAGGTACCGCCTCAGCCTAGAAAAATATAAATGAATTGGACTGATGAAATAAACATGATTAAATAACGACTTCCTGTTTATTTTTCACTATTTATTTTATTTATGTTTACGTGACTTTGAATGTATTAAATATACCAGGACACCTACCTATACTGTACTCAAATTCTTAAAGCTGGGTTTTCTTATTTTTTAGTGTCAAATTGAGCAAAATATTTGATTAATTGGTGTTCCTTTTTAATTCTTAATCATTTCATTTTGTTATAATTGCATATAATTAAGAGTTTTAACCAGTCATTAATGTACATGTATCTACAGTCTGGATAAACAAAAAAAGACTTTTTGACCTTTCTTGATCGGTCACTCATTGGAATTCTGATGGTATTTCTGTTCTAATTTAGCTAATTATGAATTAATTATGGACATGTGAGACAACTGGTATTTTTCCAAGTCATTAGAACACCTCTACTTTCTATTCATTATTATAAGTATTTCACAAATGGAAATAAGGGAACCCATCTTTAAAAGAGAAGTCTGTTTTTTTAAAGTAGGTCGAGTACTCAATGATAATGGAAACAAACGCATTACAAGTGGCTCAACTAGATGAGTTCCGCTGGAACATATGTTCTCCCTCCTTTTTTTCTGGGGGTGGGGCCCCTCAGGGGTTGGGGCCAGTGGACCACTGGTATATACACTCAATTACTGGGAAACAAATTTACGTATCAAGATTTAACGCGAATACATACTCAGGCTTACACTCTTGCACAATAGTTTCCATCTATCAGCAGGTACTTAGGATAAAATTCTTTATTTCTTATCTAACGCTCCTGTAAAACATAACTTGCTTCTCGCTTATCCAGTCACTGATTTTATGTTTATTTATATATCTTGAAACATTGAAATCGGGGGCGTTCAGGTGTAAACATTTCGTTTTGTTAAAGATTTCACGTGATGTTGAAAAGAGTATCAAAGAATTAGACCTAACTTAAAATGTGGCTATCAATAAAGGTTGTGCTTGTTCTCGGAATATTAATTGGTTCGGATTGTTTTGCGGAATCGGACGAAATTAAAATCAACATCAACCCAGAGAGCGTAGCTAATGATAATGAAAAGAATCCAAAATCATCAATAATAAGTGACAGCGGTCACATCACTAGTGACAATCGTGGCAGTGACGCCAAGATCATAACGTTTAGTGAGAATGGCCTCTCTGAAAGTGACAATGAAGCTAGTGATTCTAGGGTCATGGAATATATTGACAAACGTGGTAGTGATGCTACAGCCATAACGTTTAGTGAGAATGGCCCATCTGAAATTGACAACGATGGTAGTGACGGTACGACCATAACGTTTGGTGAAAGTAGTCGGACCGCAAGTGACAATCGTGATAGTGAGGATGAGATCATACCATTTAGTCACAACGGTCGATCTGATGGTGGTAGTGACAGAAACCAACGAAGTGACAATAACGGACAAACAATGAAATGGAGTGATAGTGACTCTGAATTATCGCAAATTTACTCAGAAGCGATCCACTATCTTACGATGATTCGTCTGTGGTACGACGCAAAACTTATCGGGGCAAAAGTCGACGGGATCGTTTGCGATTAAACAAAGAAGAAAGAGATATGGATTTTTTCGAACCAATTCGAATGCCTCAAAAGTTTCAAGAATATGATCACAACGGTGATGGCTATATTTCCTTACGTGAACTGATAGACGTAACCGGAGCAGTAGTTAACGCAAAATATGCCTTCTCCGATTCCGACACCGACAGTAAGTATTGCCTAAAAATATACTTTTCGTCTGTGTTTAAAGTCCTCTTTAGGGTTATTAAAAACCAGTTGCATGCTCCGTATGAGATTGTCGACATGATGGGGAACGACCGACTAGAGATTTTTGTCTCTCTGTGTGCCCGCAGCCGTCGGTAAAACCCAAGACAAGACTCTAGTCGGCCACAAAAAGCTGCGACCAAGACCGCTCGTGTACCCGCACCTTAAGGAATGAATTCGCTCAGCAAATCTCGCGATCTAGGTAACTGGACCAATAGTGCCGATATACTCATCAATATTATCTGAAGTAAGAGAGATAGATCTTTTTTAATTAATTGCCTCTCAGTCGGTTCATCACTGGCGTTTGATGTTCAAAGTAATTAACACTATTTCTTCCCATTGCCGTCGATTAAAAGTGCGAGAATACTTTAACTGAAAGGTTTTAAAGTACGTTTCTGGTCTTTTGACGGGTAATCATAAATTTATTAAATAAAAAAATAATATATGTAGACTCCAAAAATCAGCACTGAGTTTTCAATCTCAATCACACAGTCTAATTAAAGTTAGGGTCTAACGACAGCACTCTTGAACGCTCGTCAAATTAACCTTTTGATCTAACTGGATGCTTTAACCTATCATATTTCTACTCTCTCAAGCGCTAGCATTTGGTGACGCTGCGAATATCAGGCTAGGTCAAAAGATAAATTTGGCTGTCGTTAGACCCTAACTGAAGTGGTTATATTAAAAATAAAAGTCAATAAAAAAACGGATAAAAGTTTGGTTTACTTTTAATTAGACTAGAATAATGACTTTTTTGACCAATGGCAAATCTATCTGCCTGTTGCTATATACCGAAGGGTATCAGCCCAGTGATCATTGTATAGGAGCTCACCTCTTTTGAAATCTTATTTGTAGTCGTTTCAGTACATAAGCTTACGTATTGTGTAAATAAAGATATAACTTGCAAAAAAACCCAAAACACACAGTGTATGGGTGAGACTGAATTGTATTGTACATTATGTATTAACCTCACAAGCGACAATGACAGTTGAATGCAATTTCCGTCGTGTATTCAACTCATAAATTTAATGAATTCTTTCAAGAAGGTAACATCTATAGGGATACATTCGTCAAAATATTACTTTCCGCTAGAACTTGATAGAAACTTTCAAAATAATTGTTGTTTAAATATTCGAACTAACTGTCTAAATATTGTTGTAAAAAATGTATAAATATAGTTGTCAAAATATAGTTGCCTAAATATAGTTGTCAAAATATAGTTGCCTAAATATAGTTGTCAAAATATAGTTTCTCAAATATAGTTGTCAAAATATAGTTGTCAAAATATAGTTTCTCAAATATAGTTGTCAAAATATAGTTTCTCAAATATAGTTGTCAAAATATAGTTGCCTAAATATAGTTGTCAAAATATAGTTTCTCAAATATAGTTGTCAAAATATAGTTGTCAAAATATAGTTTCTCAAATATAGTTGTCAAAATATAGTTGCCTAAATATAGTTGTCAAAATATAGTTTCTCAAATATAGTTGTCAAAATATAGTTTCTCAAACATAGTTGTCAAAATATAGTTTCTCAAATATAGTTGTCAAAATATAGTTGCCTAAATATAGTTGTCAAAATATAGTTTCTCAAATATAGTTGTCAAAATATAGTTTGTCAAAATATAGTTGTCAAAATATAGTTGCCTAAATATAGTTGTCAAAATATAGTTTCTCAATTATAGTTGTCAAAATATAGTTTCTCAAATATAGTTGTCAAAATATATTTGCCTAAATATAGTTGTCAAAATATAGTTCCTCAAATATAGTTGTCAAAATATAGTTGTCAAAATATAGTTTCTCAAATATAGTTGTCAAAATATAGTTTCTCAAATATAGTTGTCAAAATATAGTTGCCTAAATATAGTTGTCAAAATATAGTTTCTCAAATATAGTTGTCAAAATTTAGTTGTCAAAATATAGTTTCTCAAATATAGTTGTCAAAATATAGTTGCCTAAATATAGTTGTCTATTTGTTACACTGTCACAGAAACTGTTGCCATAACTAGCTGTCTAGATATAGTTGTCTAATTATTGTTGTCTAAATTTGTTGTCTAGATATATATGTCTAAATATAATTGTCAAAATATAGTTGCTCAAATATAGTTGTCTGGATATTATTATCTGGATATTGTTGTCTTAATTTGTCTTCTAAATATAATGCTGTCTTAATTTGTCTCAATATAGATGTCTAAATATAAATGTCTAAATATAGTCGCTCTAGGCCCCAATTAGATTTGCATCATGGAAGTTAAAACACATATTTTGGCGTCGATATCCCTTTAACACCCCGATTTTGCAGTATCCACTTATACTTAATAGATAACAACATGTGTTAGGTTATATCAAATCCTTTTCAAATTGAATCATCTGTCTGACTGAGTTTTTTGAACAACTTGTAAATAAGAGTATAAATAGCCTGAAGGTCGAAAATATAGATATATATTAGAGAAAAAAACTCGAAAACTTAATTTTATTCTGTCAAAAGGCAACTTGAAAACAAAAAATATTTTTTCTTGTTAAATTACGGTCTACTCGGCAGAGTTGTCAGAGTGGTCCATTGGGTTATGGTCCTCCTCTTGGGACTGTGATGAGTCTTATTTTGAAGAGAAAATTAAGCACTCTAAATGATCAAAAATCAGGCCAGCTGAAATCCATTGGCGTCTGGGGGTCTCTGCCCTCATCCCCCCAGTCTCAAAGGAGCATGGACCCTTCGGGCCTCGCCTCAGAGACACACCTTTTATTTTTGGCCTCACCCTCAGACATTTTCTAGTTAAGCCTCGGTTTACAATTAAGCAAAGCTCTTGTGAAGCCCTGGACATTATTGAAGATTTGGTAAATTAAAAAGACAGGTGCGCAATTATGGAGGGTTGACTGGAGTCTTGAATATATGAAAATAGTCTTCAGAAGAACTAGAAATGTACGAAAATCGCATAATTCTTTTAAAAATACTTTAAACTAGGAATTTTACTCACTTTTGTCTTTTCTATATATCACGAATATCTTATCTTGACGAGTCGTCATTTTAACATTCAAACGCGGATAATTCTGGACAAAAATGGATTTGAAGGCTCAATTTTCAACGGTGACCTGTGAACATTATTATTGATTGGCTAAACTAAAAAATTCCTGTTTCTTAGACTAAAGTGTGATTGATGAAAAAAATGTAAAAAAAAACATGAAAGCAACCAGTTCCTATTTGTTCGATCAAATTTCAATTTTGAATAAATCTAAAAGATTAAGGCTTATACATCATGTAAGGTCTATATAGACTTCAGTATCACACAGAACCGATGTAGACAAAAACTAATGAGCCATAAATCAGTTTCAAATTAAAAGTAAAAATGTTAAAAGTAAGCTAATGTCGATCAAAATTGTGCCTGTAATGCGATTAGAAGAATTTTAACTTTTTCATGAATGATTGATGCAAATTGAAGGAAATCCTATGATTTATCACCGTTAACTGGGAACTGAAACTCTCTTGGAAGTGGACAGGTGTATCATGGCAGTGCTACGATCGATGGTGCATACGTGTCGATCAAATGAGTCAATTAATCAGATTCCTGTAGATTCCCCGAATTGCTAGCTGTGGTTGATAATCCAATCGCTCTTAGATTTTACCAGTTGCAAAGGTCGATCTCAGACCTAAAACCCTTTCGACTTCACATGACGAATAATTTTATACTTGGTTCCTGTTCGCTTATCGTGGTGGAGCTTTAGATGGATTGATTTGTACCATTCCAAATTCCCGCTAAAACTAAGCATTTTATAACTTTACTTTCGCAAAGGCTCTTCGATATTATTAGCAGCTTTTGTTTTAGGAATCGCAAGACCCAAAACTCATGAAATAAATGTCGCAAATTAATGCTATCAATTTCCCCGATATATATAGAAAGCTAAAAAAACCCTCTTCACAATCCCTTTAACGTGCGCCGACACTCTTGTATGCACTTTAGTCTCTAAATGATAAAGGCATCGTTATCAATAACATTTCATTTAAACAGTGATAAAATGCGAAATCAGAACCAACTTGGCAGTTTTGTGAGGCTAAAATCGTGTTTTATTTCAACACAACTATTTAATAAAGATAAAAGTATGTTTGTACAATGGCATGAAGCCAGTTGATCAAATTGATATAATATTTTTATACTAAGATTGTTAACCTCAGCGTGAGGTTGGTTTTTATTTGCGAAACGAAACAATACCGAGAATTTTTTTTCTATTCAAATATCAAAATTTATTTATCAAATATCAAAATTTATTTATCAAAAATCAAAAATTATTTATCAACAATCAAGAAATATTTATCAAATATCAAGAATTATTTATCAACAATCAAGAATCATTTATCAAATATCAAGAATTATTTATCAACAATCAAGAATTATTTATCAAAAATCAAGAATTATTTATCAAATATCAAGAATTATTTATCAACAATCAAGAATCATTTATCAACAATCAAGAATTATTTATCAACAATCAAGAATTATTTATCAAATATCAAGAATTATTTATCAACAATCAAGAATCATTTATCAAATATCAAGAATTATTTATCAAAAATCAAGAATTATTTATCAAAAATCAAGAATTATTTATCAAAAATCAAGAATTATTTATCAAAATCAAGAATCATTTATCAAAAATCAAGAATTATTTATCAACAATCAAGAATTATTTATCAAATATCAAGAATTATTTATCAACAATCAAGAATTATTTTTCAACAATCAAGAATTATTTATCTAATATCAAGAATTAGTCATCAAAAATCAAGAATAATTTTCTGTTAAAAAATACCACACGGTCCACCGTTGACCTACCAACAATAATTGAGCTACGGCGGCGCCCATCTTCACTTTAGAAAGGTATAAGTAACTAATTGTATACATGTCGTGTCTATCACATGATATATCTTATAAAATAGAAAAAAGATAGTTAAAACTTGGGAATCTGATGACTTAAACAGGCCGTTTTTACAACTAATCACTATTTTTAATCATTTTTCTCAAAATAAAAAGGTGTTAATTGAAGCTAAGTTTCTTTCTATCATCAATCTTTTTGAAACAGATGATTGAATTTCTTGATTAAAAAATTAATTATTTTCGGTGCATCAAAAATTCAGATGTACTGCAATTCTAAAGATATCTCTGAAAAACGAAAACAATGTGGTAACGCTTTTAACCAATCGTGCACGTACATATAGGATTTGCCATGTTTTCTCTGGTTTAACTCCCCAGACGGTTACAATGAGGGCCAGACCCGCGCTTCTGACTGGGTCAAATATTACGTTGCAGGAGTCTTCCTCCAAAAAATAATAGTTTGGCTGTACTGCTCAAGAGGAACCTGAGCTCAAATCGAAGTCACCCACGGACTAAACAGACTTTTTCCCGGGGTAGGAGGCAGTCATGTTATATATCCGTAGGGGCCATAGGGTGTGGTGTCAGTTGCTATCTGCTGTCAAATTTTTTTTGGGGGTAGGGAGAATCCACATATAGTTGCAGGCCTGATAATCGGTACACTAGTAATCGAATGAAACCTTCCCAAACTGCATCAGTGACTAGGGAAACCGGGTTACATTTTAATTGCACCGAGATTGAACCCGTTTTAGCGCGCCGGCTTCCAACTCGCCTTGCCTTAAAAAAACCATGCCCTACATTTTTAGTTCCAATCAATCAATGTATTTAGACTGCATGTGAAGATATTTAACCCCACTTTCTAGTACTATGTTAATTGTTCTAACAGAGGTTTACGTATAGTAAAAACCATCTTCACAATGTCGAGATTTTACAAATATCGTCTAATACCTTGACTTCATTAGACATTATCACGGAAATTGTAAATTCAAGGGTTTGATTGGCTGTGGCTACTATGTTAATTATCTATTACTAAGGTAAAGAAACATAAACTGTCTTCGTTCTTCAAATGAAGAGTTCTTACAAACTTCGTCTAATACCTTGACTTCATTAGACACTGTTCGTGTATCACAGAAATCTGTGAATGTAAAATTAGGATCATCTTCACAATGTCAATTTACAACCTTGTCTAATACCTTGACTCCAATAGACACTTTTCTTGTGTCACGGAAGTTTATAAATTCAAAGGGTGGATGGGATTGTACGCTATCGAAGACAGGCAACCAAAGCCCTCGACTACACTCGCGGCCATATTGTTTAGTCTTTCTACAGTCGAAGACTCTGATTGGCTGTATTCAAAGGCATACAGTCCAATAAGATCGATTCTATTATACAAGAAAGATGTCAAATGATGTCAAGGTATAAGACGCAGTTCGTAATATTTTGACATTGTGAAGATGAGTATAAACCTGTTGAAAATCAAGGTAACGATGTAACGATGGATGAATATGTAATGACTTGAAACCAACTTAAAAATAAACAATTTCTTCTTTTATCGGTTACAACATATAACTCCCGTAAGCTAAGGTTATTTTCTTTTAACTGCAAAATTTTTAAAGTAAGACCCTTGACAGGTTGATTTTAACATGTCCTGGGTGGAAAATTACATTTTGTGAAGACTTCCGTCAGGCAGGATTTTATTTTCTGTTAACTTCTCTTTAAAAAGAATTGAATTTTACACCCTACTTCTCTGATCCTTATTGGGCTAATAAAGACCGGCAAGGCCGTGCAGTGTGCAATGAGGACAATTTTGCTAGGACTGTGGTATATAGCCTACTGTCGAGGGATCGTTAATGTAAGCAGTCTGTAGCACACGGGGCCTTGGTTTATTGTCCAATCGGAACAACTTGACGCTTTTTCCATGTCAGCCCTCTTACCTGCATCACTGACAGGAGGAAACCGGGTTGAAAATTCTGAAAGTTCTCGACTTTGAAGACATAAGTAATTTCGAAACATACTTAGAAGCGTGTTTCTATAATTGTTAAGTTTCTTATATAAAGATTCTATTCTTTAGTCATGACACCTGGTAAGTTCAACTGATGAATATATAGACTTGTACAAATTTTATGTCCATTCTAAGGGGTAGTATTCCTTTAATGTGGAGGCAATAAAGATTGAATTATTTTGGTCCGTTTTTTTTAGATTCATTTCATGGTTATTTCCCTTTATATTAAGAACTAGTACTGATATAGTCAAAGCCATTGACTGGATCAACTTGAAGATAGAATAAATAACGAAGTGTTCTCACTGTAAAGTCTTTGAATGGCATTAGCCTGGGGACGACGGGGGAAACACGTCGAAACGTTGCATAAAACTTTAACCAGTGATTGTTGTTCCATAAAGCTGTGTCTATATATTGTTCTCATTGTAGTATAGCGAGCAGTTGAAACCTTCAAAATAAGACTTTAATGACACTTAGCAATTGTAAGCAGAATTCAAAGGCACAGCTTTATGGAACAATAATCACTGGTAAAAGTTTTATGCAACGTTTCTTCGTCCTCAGGCGTCATGTGTGAAACACGTCGAAACGTTGCATAAAACTTTAACCAGTGATTGTTGTGCCAATATATATTTCTCTACATTTTGCCATTTATTTGTTTTAATCCATAACTTAAGTTTTCTAACATGAACCAAAACATAGGGACTTTTTAACGTTTACGTAAACATTTTAAATGGTTTTGGAGTTCCAAGAATTAATTGCAGGACACTTCAGTTTAGTGGTTATTAACGGCATCAAACATTTAGACCAATTGCAGAACCACAGATGTCTGATTGTAAATTGATAGGGTACAAATTGATGCTATCAGTGTCCCCGATACACCTCTTTACAATCCCTTTCAAGCTAATTTACCTTTTCTAATTACAGACAATGGTAAAATTGATGAAGAAGAATTCAAAACAGCACCGTGGGATTTATCTGGACAAGTGGAACGTGTCAAACACAATAAGATATCGCCTGCAGAAATGGTGTAACGTGTGCTTTTAATGGGATATTGTGATAATAGTTCTGCTTTACTTCAAAGCTTCTAGACAGAAGTTTGGTCCTTAGAAAATAAAATCTCAATACAAAAGTTCTATGGTCGACATCACGAAATTCTTTACATAACCATTACCTATGGGACAAGTTGAATATATAAAATATGCTCTGCAGATTTGGTGTAACGTGTGCTTTTAATACAGGACATTGGGATATTGCGATAATAATTCTGCTTTACTTCCACACTTCTAGGAAGAGGTTTGGTCCTTAAAAATATAGTCCCAATACAAAAGTTTTAGGGTCGACATCACGAACTTTATACAATGAACTATGGGATTAAACTGGACAAATTGAACGTATAAAATGTCTTCTACTAAATTGATGTAACCTGTACTTTTAATATTGGATTTTATGACGATGAGTTTGATTTACCCCCAAGCTTCTAAAAAAATAGAATCTCAATACAAAAGTTCCAGTGTCGACATCACGAAATTCTTTACATAGTACAATTAACTATGAATATTTCCTACAGAATTGATGTAACCTGTACTTTTAATATATGATTTTATGACGACAATTCTTCTATATCCCCAAGCCTCGGGGCAGAGGTTTGATTCCTAAATATTCATAATACAAAAGTATTATGGTCGACATCACGAAATTATTACAATAAATATGTGTATTTTAGAATTACAGATTTGATCATATTTAGCTATATTGAATCTGCTCAAATATTCACAGTTAAAAATTGAGTACAAGTTATCCCCCTTGAGATGTAAGTTCATTCTACAGTAAGTTTATTGGAATGTCTCACAGCTGTAAATACTCGAATTTAGTTCCATGTTTTGAGTTTATGGTCCTCCTGGATAATAAATACCGTTTCTTATTCACTTCGGGGGTTAAAAGACTGGTATATGTATATCTGAAAGCAATGTCGTTTCCAGCCATGTTTAATGCTGTTCACAGTCCCAGTTGACTCGTTTGGGTATTTGTCTGTTAAAATGTTACCTGGAAAATGTTACGGATACCGTCAATATGGCTCAACCACTGGAAGACTCTCCTCACTGAAATACAAACAAACTATTATGCAAGGATGCAGAATTCATTGGAGGGGTGGGGCTGTGAGGTGTGACGTTATTGTCCGTTTTTGAAGACACATAAAAATGTTTTATGCGCATTCCAACTACCGGTACTCTTTGTTAAGACGTATGCAGTTTCCGAATTAGACATCTCCACATTGTCAAGCTAAATACGTCTAATACCTTGATTCAATAGCCACCTTTCTTGTGTCACCGTATGCGGCGATACGAATACAGCCAATTAGTATAAGTATGAGGTCCGTAAATGCTTAACATTGTGAAGATTCGGTTTAAGTCTGAATTTACTTTCGAATTTCAAATTTCCTATCAGTGATGACAGGTCAGAGGGTTTGCTAATGGTACGGCCACACGAACAGTCTTTTTTGTCGCCAACTACAGTCTTGTCATGAGTTTAGTCGACAGGCTGCAGGCACACAAATGAAAGTAAAATTAATCTGATTGGATGGTGACGCCCTGTCTTGCAGACGATCAAACAATAGGCGTCAAATATCAAACCGTTCGTTTACCCGCGCCATCAGAAAGAGACCCTTTGTCGTTCAGATGGGACAAGAGATAGAGATCCCGTGCAATCAAGATCTACCGGCAGATGGGAATCGAAAAAACCACCCTTATTAAGCAGGATCTACAGCTCCCTAAATATTTCACTTCTGAATCTGGATCTTCTAGAAAAAAAACACGAAAGTACTTACTGTAAACTGTTTACAACTACCAGCATTAATCCATCCGTCCAGATCGGTATAAACTTGATGGGGTATTCTCTTAACGTTCACCGCCTGGCATAATTTACACCAGTTATCAGCCATTGTTACCTTATACTCTTTCCTCCATTCAAAATACTTATTATATGCTGTATTATTTCTTTCCAGGTAACTCAGATAGTCCGCTACTTCCTGGGCATTGTTAAAGTCACGAATATCTATGTAAGAATGGGGTGGGGCAATTTCTTTGTAGTTTCCACCTCCGTACACAACAGGCAATATCCCAGCCCTTAACAACCGAAAAAACTTTTCGGTAATGTAATCATCACAAACGGAATTTTCAAATGATAAAAAAAACTTATATGTACATAAAACTTTTTCATAAGAATTGCTACTTAACTTTCCTTCTCCACATGAACCGAATTTATCCACGTGGATATACTTTTGAAGTTCGTGTACCAGCAATTGTCTGCGTGTGTGGTCTCCACAATTACTGGCTATCCACACAACACCTGTTCTTTTTTCATCCACTGCTGCGTCTGTTGCGACATTCGTTTGGGAAGTTTTTTCCACATTGCCGTATGGAGTATGGATTTCACTATTTTTATGATAAGTTCCGGTCCAATTAAAAACGTCGTTAAATTTACTGTAATCCAAGTACTCATTGACAGGTGATTCGTTATTCATCAAAACCCAAAGCTGTTCGTTGGTCCGATATTTTGGAAGAGGGTAGTAACTTGTATAACTTATATATGACGTCAAGAACTCATATATACTATACAAGTCACGAGTATGGAAGAGCAACACGTCCGAGGATTTCAACTCCGATTTATCATATGATAAAACACAGTTAGAAACTGGACAACTGGAGAATACCGTCGAAAGATTGTCTAAATTCCAATCCTCACTTTCAAAATATGGAGTCCACAATAGAATTTTATATTCTGATTTTAAATGGCGATATGTATTAGGGTATTTATAGATATATCTACTCAAGTTTTGCCGGTGGTCAAGTGCGGTAAAATTAGAAAAGAAATCAGGTTTATTCAGAAGTGACGGAACGTAGAAAATAATCAAGATAGTTGCAAAGATTAGAAAATTATAACAGACAACTCTGTTATCTAAGATACGCATGAGGATTCTTTTTTGATGTTGTAGAATCTTGCCTGCATAATCCATATTTCAATAATAGGTTATCACTGTATAAATTATTTTCCTTTTGCTCGGATAACTTACCGATTCACTGCATGAATTGCTATTCACTTCTCTTGCTCGTATAACTTATTGATTCACCACTTCTCTTTCTCGGATAACTTATTGATTCACTTCGTGTTTGGATAACTTATTGATTCACTTCGTGTTTGGATAACTTATTGATTCACTTCGTGTTTGGATAACTTATTGATTCACTTCGTGTTTGGATAACTTACTGATTCACTGCATGAATTGCTATTCACTTCTCTTGCTCGGATAACATACTAATTCACTTCTCTTGCTCGGATAACATACTAATTCACTTCTCTTGTTCGGATAACTTATTGATTCACTTCGTGTTTGGATAACTTACTGATTCACTTCGTGTTCGGATAACTTACTGATTCACTTCGTGTTCGGATAACTTACTGATTCACTGCATGAATTGTTATTTTCTCCTGAAACGTTGCAATATTCATAATCTACAAGTATTTAATATCCTTGTGTGCGCAATAGGAACTGGAGAGTAATTTGCGCCATATAAGTGAACTATTATTATTATCATTATTATTATTATTACTATTATTATTATTATTATTATGAAAGGTCCTGTCGAATTAAACGACAAACTTCTTGAGAGCTCGAAGGGACCAATTGAATAACTTTGACGTTCCAGTTGTAAATAGGCACTGATAACCAGGAAAAGATCAACGTTGAAAGGTTTGGCCTAGGACAAGGTGGTAAAGTGGATCCTCATCAACCACAGTTGTTATCCTTGTAACAAAAAAAGATTCGGCCTAAGACCAGCTGGGTAGAGATGATCCGCATGAACTTGTTATCTTCGTCAAAAATGGTAGCTTCTCTTTCTTTAAAATCGAAAAAGATGTAGGTGGCGCAAGTGTTAATAATACTAAATGACGGGAATTTCTACCATTTGATTTGACTCGTAGACATTGTAGCAGAACTGGAAAAAAAAAGAAATGAAGCTTTGAAATTTTGAAATACTGATCGTGGTTATAACATGTTTACTATGACTCTATCGACATGTGAAATATATCCAATGCTTGGGAAATTTGCTGTATGAGCAAAGTGATTAGAAAAAATGAAATGAATGGAGTTTTACGTCCTACTCCTAAAAAAAGTTGTGCAGTCACACATACCTAGGTAAAAACTAAAGTTTTTAATTAAAAATTACACGAATTATCACAAAATTTTCACCTAAATGAAAATAATTATCACCTAGGTGTCAATTAAAGTTTTTTTTTTTAATTCAAAATTAAAAATGAAATATGTCGTTTTACATTCTTAAACCACTTTTTCAACCAATCAGCATTGGCTAAATTAAGTTATTTCATGAAGAATTTCTCAATCATTAGAGATTTTGATTGACAGCATTGATGTATATAACAGAACCTAATCTACTTATTAATCCAACCAGCAGTAGCTAAATTGTGACTGACATCAAGGGGGAGGATCTTATTAAGTAAAATTTAAGTGATAGGGAGGTGGGCTTAAGGAAAGAAACTAGGTCTACATCAATATACTTGATATGTATCATACATCATACGATTCGATGTCATGATAGAAGGTCGAACTAGGTTTAAACCGGGTTTTCAATATAAAATTAGATGCATCTGTCGAGGCTGAATTCGAAATGCAGAAGGTCTGTGGGGGCGTCATAGGTCTTCAGCTTCATATGGAGCGCCTAAAAGGTTTTCCCATAATAATTTTCGAAAAATTCTCGAGAATCGAGAAATACTAATGAACTAGAGGGATTTATGGAGGCTGAAATGGGTGGGGTGGGAGGTAGAAATACTGAAGAACTAGTTAACCTTTATGGAGGCTGAAAGAGGGTAGACACAGAACGCAGTGGTAGTCCTATAGCATCGGTATGCTTACATCATTGATTTTTCGACTGTGAAGCATTTATTTGAAAAATTTCAAAAAACTTTTTACTTTGTTTATACATAAGTAGCCAAGACTTCCGGAAAAATTCCCAAATAATTCGGCTTACGAAAGTTCAAAGTTCAGAATAACACCGGAACCGTGTACGTCGAGATCAACTGGGCAGACGATAAGGTTTAGCAGACAAGAGCAAAGATCAAGGCCGCAGACGATAGCCAGCAGACAATAAGAAAACTGAACTTTTTGACTCATCCTCGCGATTCAGCCAATCAACGACAGCGACACAAAGAAAATTATCGGGATTCCCTCAAGGGACGTAAATCATGTCATAACAACACATGGTGTCCGCGAACGTAGATTTTCAATAAATAACTGAATATAGTAGTAATTTTATTTTAACAAGATCAGAGAAGCTATGGGAAACGTTTATTATTCATTTATCAGGCAATCACAAGGTAGGTAGATTATCACAGACTCCTGACTTATTCTTTTTCACGATTACACAAGCCTAAGCATCATGCCTACGGATTCGTGATAAATGCCTGATAAATGAATAATAAACGTTTCCCATAGCTTCTCTGATCTTGTAAAAAATAAAATTACTTCTATATTCAGTTATTTATTGAAAATCTACGTTCGCGGACACCATGTGTTGTTATGACATGATTCACGTCCCTTGAGGGAATCCCGATAATTTTCTTTGTGTCGCTGTCGTTGATTGGCTGAATCGCGAGGATGAGTCAAAAAGTTAAATTTTCTTATTGTCTGCTTGCTATCGTCTGCGGACTTGATCTTAGTTTTTTGTCTGCAAACCTTATCGTCTGCCCAGTTGATCTCAGCACCGTGTACCGAGTTATCAAATTCCATTATTTAAGACCTTAAACATAGTTCCATGACGACGAATTGTCCGATTATTTTTTCACTAACCTTCAAATACTTCAGTTATAAAAGTAAAATCAACACTTTCATTCAAAAATACTAGAAATAAAGAATACTTTGCAAATTCTTTGTTCCAGCTCCATCGAAATAAACAAAACATTCTGCTATACCATAAACCACTATCATCCAGTCCATCGTTATCTGCTTAATCCAGAGCCTAATCTCGACAGAATAATACTGTGTGTCAGAGACTACTAAGCCATTTCGTAACCACATAGTAATTCAGTGGTACTAAAACGTAACTAACCTACCTAAATGTAACCAAGACTGTGTAGACAGCAGAATATATGAAATAAACATACAAACACGTTGACCCTTCTCAGTCTTATTGTCTTAAAATCTATCTTGCTTCTTGGACTTGAAATTTTATGCAAATGGCGACACAAACAATGTGCTTTTCTTAGCCATGAACATCCAATGATTTTCAAGTACTTAAAAATCAAGACTATTAAACGCTTGTCATCTCCCTCCCTTCAATCGTCGTGCTCAAGATTCGTGAATCTATATTGTCTTCTGATCTCCATTGCAATCTTACAAGTTATTTATGTTTGTGTATGTTGAGCAGCAATGATGGGTGTGGCAATGACAGAGTATGCTTACTCTTCTAGACACCAAGTTCATTAGCGGCAAACATTGTTTTGGCCAAAATGTTGTTTTGGATTCCACGTTTCGTTTTACGGTTCGGATCGTTAATACTTGATCTATTTATTACGCTAGAGAAAAAAAAATCTTCTTTACCTTTTAATATTAACAGTTTTGATAACGCCAAGGTTTTTATTTGTGCAATATTTGATATAAGCTTATCTGAATTACATACGACACTAAGCTGTTAATCATATACTACGGTCAAACTCGTCTCTATGGTAACTATTACTCATAGTCTCTGACGCCCAGACTTTCCGGGACTTGCTTTTAGTATATGCTGGGGGTGGGGCCCGTAGACTTGGTTTAACCAGTCCTGTGGCCGTTAAGACAATATATAGGACTAACACCACTAAAACTTTTTATGTAAATGATTGTATATATATGTAGTCCGTGTTATTCTTAGAAATCATCTTTATCCTTTCCTAGGCCTGTGCATTTGGGAGAATCAAAAATAGTCGTTTTGTGTGCAGAGACAGTCACGCGGATGTTGATAAAATTTAGTGGTCTACTTTCAGTTTGATTAGCTTGAGATTTTCATGGTCGTGATACATTGAATTTTTGTCCAGAAGCTAAGTACTGGCCATATTTTCATGTGACATATTGGAAAGTCCCATCTTGAAATCCAATATGGCCGCCATGTAAATCTATTTGATGCAATATCTCCTTAAGTAAAGATATCAGTACAGTTCCAACGCCGATTCCATGTTTTAGGGCTCTTAGAATACAATTGTGTCAGAAACTACAAAATTTGTCACCTTGGCGCCATTTAAATCTATTTGAAGCAATATGTTATTAAGTTGTAAAGATATCAGCAGAGTTCCAACGCAGATTCCATGTTTTAGGGCTCTTGTTATCTAGTGGTGTCCGTAACTGTATGTCACATATTGCTGCCATTGGATCCCTAGAGCCACAAAAAGTAGGTTTAGGCGATTGAACTGGCTTGATATCTGTATTAGTTAAGAAGATACTTAACAAAACTTGTCCACATTGGCGACCATTTTAAAATTCAAATTGGCTGGGTGCAATTTCCGGAGGCCCCTGGACTAAAAATCTTTGCATTGTATTCGTTTAACCATGTGCCAAGTTTCATGCTTTTAAGGGAAAGTGCACAATTGATCATCTAAGACGCCCCACTATTGGTTACACATGGTTACACATGTTTAACCCGGGACTTGCCTTTAGTATATGCTGTTGGTGGAGCCTGTAGACTTGGTTTAACTGGCCCCTGTGGCCGTTGAGACACTGTATACATGAGAATAAAGGGGTTCATTCAATTGACGTGAAAAATATCTCTTTGTATTTTGTGTGAATGAATCAAAAGATTATTTTATTTTTAGACGTTCACCGAGTTATTGTAATAATCGCTTATTAATTCTACATATAACCATACAATATTTGTTAAAGGGATCGTAAAGAGGTTTTCTAAAATTTGTATTTGTATCGGGGTCACTGATAGCATCAATTTGCACCATTCCAATTTTCAATCAGACGTCTAACAACTCTACTGTTCTTTTGACGTAACCCCCTCCCCCCTCCCTCCCCCAAAAGTCTTATGTGATACAAGCATATTTGCGAGGGTGACGCCATAAAACACTTATTGTTTGTGGAATTGAAGGAAACACAGACGTCTCGTTGAAAATTGAATTGGACTGATGATATCAGTGTCCCTAATGCACATACTTTTTTTTCTTTACAATTACTTTAAGGACACATGTTTCGTCAGGCAAGTTCAATTTCCTTATTCGACCAGATTTCATGCTTCGATAGACACGTCAATATTCCTAGGAGTCTACCAGAGGAACGGTGAGTATTGGACTTTTTATATATCCTCAACAAATTTCATTACATTGGACATAGCTCTAATTTGGGTACAGGGATACAGAAAATCAATTACAGCCTCAATTTAATTTTTTGAACATTTACTTGAGAGAAATCTCTCAGTTGCTCCATTAAAGACTTGAAACTATAATAACAGTAATAATTGTTAATTAAGCAGCTTACACTAATTTTGTTGTTGGGTCCCAAAAAGGCTAAATATTCGCATAATGAACATAAAATATAAAAAGTGAAAAATAAAAAAATAATCTCAAGAAATCACAGTTTGTTTTCTAACATGAAACATTTTAAATCTACACCAGGCAAAATGTGGTAAAATTCGTTCGTTAGTCATGAAATAGCACAATTTATTAATATAAGGATATAAGGTTACAAGTTAGAAATAAAATTTTCCTCATTTTCAACTTCCCATTGTTGCCTAATAAAAAATATTTCCTTGATGAGAGAGGTTCGAGAAATCTAGCATATCTACCCGTTTCAATTCTTAACGGTAAGGAGCCCATTCTAAGCTTAGCCAAAACACGTCTATGACTTCTGTTTCTAATAATCCTTACATAAGGTTCTGTTCCAAATTCAGTTTTGTATATGCGATAGGACCCGAGTTTGTTACCATTAACTTGCGATAGGACCCGAGCTTGTTACCATTAACTTGCGATAGGATTGCGATAGGACCTGAGTTTGTTACCATTAACTTGCGATAGGACCCGAGTTTGTTACCATTAACTTGCGATAGGACCCGAGTTTGTTACCATTAACTTGCGATAGGACCTGGGTTTGTTACCATTAACTTGCGATAGGACCTGGGTTTGTTACCATTAACTTTCGATAGCACCTGAGTTTGTTACCATTAACTTCCGATAGGCGATAGGACCTGAGTTTGTTACCATTAACTTGCGATAGGACCCGAGTTTGTTACCATTAACTTGCGATAGGACCCGAGTTTGTTACCATTAACTTGCGATAGGACCCGAGTTTGTTACCATTAACTTGCGATAGGACCTGAGTCTTGAGAAGTACTATTTTTATTTCAAATTAAGACAGGTTCGAGGGGGAGGCCACGATCCAATGACCCTCTCACTAAATACGCTACTCGGGAAAGACACACTGTGAACATCTTACTATTCGAACAGTATTACAGTATTTTCTTTTTGTTTTCCTTTTTTCAGTTCTACTCTCTGTGTTTACTAATCAAATCAGATATACAAACTAAGAAAAAAAGCCAAAATTAACAACAAAACCTAGAGTGCACTTGAGATCCTTTCTACCAGCTAATCCTTGGTCAAACTACTTGGCATTGATTTTTCGAGGATTATCCCTACCCACTGTGCTACAAAACCACTGAAAAAGGAAAAATACATATAGAATATGAGTTGTGCATCTTGGATTCGTAAACATCAAAAAAGAATTTTCTTGCGTACAGTAGGCGCCAGACATGCCCGTTATAGTTTTCTAATCATCACAACTATTTTGATTATTGTTTTCTACGCTCCGTCACCTCTGAATAAACCTGATTTCTTTTCTAATTTTACCGCACTTGACCACCGGCAAAACTTGAGTAGATATATCTATAAATACCCTAATACATATCGCCATTTAAAATCAGAATATAAAATTCTATTGTGGACTCCATATTTCGGAAGTGAGGATTGGAATTACGACAATCGTGCTACGGTATTCTCCAGTTGTCCAGTTTCTAACTGTGTTTTATCCTATGATAAATCGGAGTTGAAATCCTCGGACGTGTTGCTCTTCCATACTCGTGACTTGTATAGTATATATGAGTTCTTGACGTCATATATAAGTTATACAAGTTACTACCCTCTTCCAAAATATCGGACCAACGAACAGCTTTGGGTTTTGATGAATAACGAATCACCTGTCAATGAGTACTTGGATTATAGTAAATTTAACAACTTTTTTAATTGGACCGGAAGTTATCATAAAAATAGTGAAATCCATACTCCATACGGCAATGTGGAAAAAACTTCCCAAACGATTGTCACAAAAGACGCGGCAGTGGATGAAAAAAGAACAGGTGTTGTGTGGATAGCCAGTAATTGTGGAGACCACGCACGCAGACAATTGCTGGTACACGAACTTCAAAAGTATATCCACGTGGATAAATTCGGTTCATGTGGAGAAGGAAAGTTAAGTAGCAATTCTTATGAAAAAGTTTTACGTACATATAAGTTTTTTTTATCATTTGAAAATTCCGTTTGTGATGATTACATTACCGAAAAGTTTTTTCGGATGTTAAGGGCTGGGATATTGCCTGTTGTGTACGGAGGCGGAAACTACAAAGAAATTGCCCCACCCCATTCTTACATAGATATTCGTGACTTTAACAATGCCCAGGAAGTAGCGGACTATCTGAGTTACCTGGAAAGAAATAATACAGCATATAATAAGTATTTTAAATGGAGGAAAGAGTATAAGGTAACTATGGGTAACGACTGGTGTAAATTATGTCAGACGGTGAACGTTAAGAGAATACCCAATCAAGTTTATACCGATCTGGACGGATGGATTAATGCTGGTAGTTGTAAACAGTTTACAGTAAGTACTTTCGTGTTTTTTTTCTAGAAGATCCAGATTCAGAAATGAAATATTTAGGGAGCTGTAGGTCTTGCTTATGATTCTGCATATATGATTGGGCTATTGAAGACGAGCAACACAACGCAACGCAACGCAACGAAGTGTACAATATGGATAATTTTGTCAGGGCAGCAGCTACGTTTTTCGATTCCCAACTGTAGATCTTAAACACACGAACGATTAAATGATTTTGGGAACTGAACGACCCAAAGGCGTCTCTATAAATCATTGCGCGAAGGGCGGGGCGCAAAATTGTCAAGAAGGGCTCTAACATATGTAAGATGATACGAAGTTCGATATTGGTAATGGGGGATGGGACTGACTCAGTTTTGTTCCCTATTCCAGAAGAAATCTCGGACGTCAATGCGAAAATCAAACCCTTCCTTCCCCGAAATCAAGTTTTAAAGTTTCTTCGGTACACGTGCAGTAACACACCCATCGCCTCTTCTGAATACCCAAACCTTGTAACGATTTTATGCAAATTATGATTGATGTGGTTGTATTTCAGTGGTGAAAATTATTTTCGATACAGCGGCGCTTTATGGCACAATAAAACCACGTACTAACGATGCGAACCGCAAAACGAAACCCGAAATCTAAAACAACATATTGGCGAAACATTGGTAGCATCTAATGAAATTTTCACATGAGGAAGTATATTAATCATATGTGAGTAAGTATTTAATAATGAAAAGTGGTATCACCTGTCTAGAAGTGTAAGTATATTCTTTTTTATTTTTATAAATTATTATTTTCATTATATAGAAATTGTTATAATTATATACCATATAAAAACTGTTATGATTATATACCATATACAAATTGTTATGATTATATACCACATAGAAATTGTTATGATTATATAACATATACAAATTGTTATGATTATATACCACATAGAAATTGTTATAATTATATACCATATAGAAACTGTTATGATTATATACAATATACAAATTGTTATAATTATATACCACATAGAAATTGTTATGATTATATACCATATACAAATTGTTATGATTATATACCATATAGAAATTGTTATGATTATATACCACATAGAAATTGTTATGATTATATACCACATAGAAATTGTTATGATTATATACCATATAGAAATTGTTATGATTATATACCATATACAAATTGTTATGATTATATACCATATACAAATTGTTATGATTATATACCATATACAAATTGTTATGATTATATACCATATACAAATTGTTATGATTATATACCACATACAAATTGTTATGATTATATACCATATACAAATTGTTATGATTATATACCATATACAAATTGTTATAATTATATACCATATACAAATTGTTATGATTATATACCATATAGAAATTGTTATGGTTATATAACATATAGAAATTGTTATGATTATATACCATATAGAAATTGTTATGATTATATACCATATACAAATTGTTATAATTATATACCATATACAAATTGTTATAATTATATACCATATACAAATTGTTATGATTATATACCATATAGAAATTGTTATGATTATATACCATATACAAATTGTTATGATTATATACCATATAGAAATTGTTATGATTATATACCATATACAAATTGTTATAATTATATACCATATACAAATTGTTATGATTATATAACATATACAAATTGTTATGAATCGGCGATCAAGATCGTTCGATTGCCTGCACCATTAAGCTTTCTTTTCAATCGGATGAACTTTGTAGTCTCTCTCGCATTCCATAGCAAGGGGAATAACTCAAACGGTGGTGGAAATTCACGAATTTTTTTTATTCGACTTAGATTTTTCCATTAACGGTTGCTTCTTATTCGATGTATTGCCATGCCAATGCTTAAGAACTGTATACCCTGAAGCTATCAAATCAACCAAAATTTCATTACAGACAATGTTAGCAATTATAGAATCATCCAATGTTATAAAGAGACTGCACCATTGGGGCCCAGCAGCAGCCAAATTCAGAAGCATTTGTATTCATAGGTAAAGAAGGGGAAAGAACTGTACTGACGTTTAAAGAGATCTTTGATAAAGCTGTACATTTTGCAAACCAGCTGAAAAAGCTTGGATTGAAGTCTGATGACATTGTTTGTAGTCTCTTGCCGGATCCCACTCCAACTGGCTTCATTGCCTCTTTCCGTATCATCGTCGCTGGATGCGTGGTTTAAACTTCAACTGAAGGGTGGTACATTTTTGATTCAAAATCTCAATAAAATTAAGTGTAAAGCTTTCATTTTTATCTTCAAACGAAAATGAACCATGTCACAAAATGATGTTTAATCTTATGGAATTTAAAAACGAACATAAAGTTTCGTCCAAAGTCTTGGTACATGTTGAAAATGTGGTATTTACCAAAGATGGTCCCGAAATTGGATTCAATTGGAAGGTGCACGATCCCATGAGAACGAAGATTTTACGGATGAGCTTTTATCTTTAGATGTCGATGGGGATGCTGTAATACTCTTATCCTCGGGCACTACTGGTATGTCAAAAATAATAGTCATTTCCCATAGAGTGTTCATGAATCGTATACCATGATTAGCAAATCGGGGCTTTGTTGTTGTTATCCTTCGAATTGGGGGCCAGGGTTACCGCTATTTTACATGCAGACAGTGATTAAAGTCCCGATGAGGACAGGGGTAATGAAATCTGCGCATGCGTTGTATTGGTTTCCGGTTCAAAATGCATCGCGAGGAAGATTGAAGAGTTTGCAAAGACATATTCGTTAAAGATGATTATGAGCACGTCTCTGCTTGTCCAAAGTATTTTCTATTACTAGACAAGATTCCTTTGAATAGAAATCAAAAAGCTGATAGACACGCTGCAGAAAAATATGCTGCTGAAGTTTTAAATCTTTTAAATTAATGCTATCAGTATATGTATAGCCTTTATCATCCAGTCCATCTTTGTCTATGTACAGCTTCGATAAAAGATGACTGACCTGGACCTGGACCTGCTGCTCAAAATTTGTGTAATTGACCGAGGCTACAGAAGCTATTGAATCTGATTGGTTGTAAATCAACATCCGTTTTGGTGATGGAAAACATTAATTGAAATATTTCAGTTATATGAAAAAGTCTTCGAATTTTAATTCTTCGTTCGAAAAATCTTGTTTCTGTTGTAAACCATAGAATTTAATCAGGCTTAATTTAAATGGTGCTAACGGACCATTATCTCGAATTGTTGGTGAAGGGAACATACGTATATCATAATATATTTATTTATTACTTAGATAATTAATGCTATTTCGAATGAATTTGTCATGTATTGATAAGATCTCTAGAACATTTTCGAATCATAAACAGTTACTATTCGAGTAATCAAGAAAACTGCACCTGTGGCGTTTCTGAGGGTGAGGTAGGGTGTGGCATGTCCCTTAAGAACAGAGCACAGAGGCTTGTCCTCCGGGGTCAGAGTAGTTAATTGCCCGGATGTCCATACACATATGTCAGTTGCATTCATTCTTCATTATAACACAGAAGCAAATTTACTCATAACTTATATTATATACATTGTGCATCACAAAAAATAAGTGCTCAGTTATTCATGCCATTTTTTAAAACACGATGATGCGAAACTGTTATTAAAATAAGGACGTCCACAAAACAATAAGTCAAAATGGTGAAAATATCAGTAACAGCAATCTTAGATCATTCTCACACACGCAGGTAATATATAACAATTAAGGCAATCTAATAAATCGGATCGTCAACAAAAACAGTTTCATTCGTACACTCTCATAAACATAAAGTGTGGTATTTCATGAAGAGCAACGTGATAGCCAACGAGCCATTTGGGACCGACAACTAACGTTGATCGCAGTTCGTCATTCCAGATTCCTTTAGGAATGTAAATGTTTCGTTTTATCGTTCCTTCACAAACCACTGGCGCGACTAACAGTTTATCTCCAACGAGAAATTGATCTTGAATACGTCGAGCAGTAGAGTCTTGAGAGTCCACAGACCACAAGGGACGGATCATTGCCAATCCTTGATGTAGTTCTTGCTTCATCTTCAGGCTTGTAATTATGGGCATCACTAACTTTTCGTGTAGTTGACTCATTTTCTTGGCTATTTCAACAGTTTCTTTGTCATACGACCAAGGGGCAATCGAGTAACTCATTGCTGGGAAAAAGGCGGACAGTTCCATCCAACGAATAAACAGGTCCTTGCTTGGCACCTTTGCGGGCAGGAGGTCATTTTCATCGTGGTATGATCTAAAACCATCCGAGAGAATATGGGGGTATCCAAGAAGACCTAATGAAATAGTTTTGGAGATGACATCATTTATACAAGATCGTGTTCCATCCATGATGACGGATGCTTTGACGTTAAGCAACCCACTGGAATGCTGTGAATGTGACGTTCTATCTACGATGAGATTACGGTTTATGGTCGACATCATGTTCGTAAACATCTTCAGCAGACTATTGGGGGTTTGTTTCGGCTTGCTGAAATGCGGTCGATGTGGAAGCCAGTCTTTGTTCCCGTAACTGAATCTAAATGCTTTTACATTGTATTCGTTGCTTAAGGTCATCACTTCATTCGAAAACCATGCTTTTGCGTTTGTATCGGAAACGTCAAGGATCGATCCGATGCCATACTGCCAATCCACCAAACCTGGGACCATATCACCAGAATCTTTCACAAAAAATCCTTTGCTGACACCGAAGTTGTAATTGTCGGAGGTAAAATGAAAATACGGATTGACCTCCAAAGATATTGAACAATTTGAAGACGTCAATGTTTCAACCATTTGAGTTGTGTTCGGGAAATTTTTCTCATCAAAGACTAGATCTCCGATTGCTGCTTGCCACATTCCGTCTATTTGCAAAGTACTGCAATTAAATCCGTGGTGCACGATTGCTTTAGCCACATGTTCCACATCTTCTTGCGTAATTTGGCGTGATTTCTTTTCAGCTACTGCAGACCAATGGGGATAGCGTAACACTTCGGAGTCCATCATACGCAATCCTTCAGGGTTGGCATGCAATTTTCGCATAAATGTGTGCGTCTTTATTATATCATGTCCGTTGCAAACAGTGTAGTTTAGATGTGGCAATCGCTTATCGTCTTGATCATAAAATGGCACAGTAAAATTTGATACTAAACACATTTTCCCAGGTCGGGTTGTATTCCAGTGGACGTGAACTGGAATGTCGCTGTTTACCAAGATGGCCGCGGAGTTGGACGAGATCCAATAAAACTCGACAGCCGACTGCAAAACGCCGTCGTTGCCACATTCATATTTGTTAGAATTGAAATCAAACTGTCCTTGAATAGGAACCGAACCAGTTGTAAGATTTGATGATCCATACCATTCCTCATTACCCAGATCAAAGCAATCAAACGGAACGTATTTCGGATTTAGACTTTCCCACGAAACGTTGTAACATTGAATATCCCGTTCTGGTGACTCGAAATGGTTAATCCGGAGCACTGCCCGTCGTTTCCACTTGCACTCCTTAGTTGACTGATCTCCCGTTTCCACTATTGGACAATTTAATGGTAACTGCCAGAACGGTATGTCTTGACCTAATTTGGCATGGATGGCGTCATAACCTTCAGGATCAGACAAGGTTAAGATTCGTCCTCGAGGGTTAAAAAAGATTTGCTGACTGCTGGCAATGGCGGTTTCTGATTCATTGTGGTAGTACCAGGCCAAACTGACGAATATTATAGAGAGGATGAACACCAATATCACGAACACGTGCAATAGGTATTTCTTGTAGGTTTCCCTATCCTTTAGTTTCATCTGCAAAGATACAAAATACAACCTCAATTCTCATATCTTCAACCCACAATAAATGCCCATCTGCTGGTAATTTAGTGCAACTTTACGCCATACAACATTGGTCCTCCGAACAATTATGTTGGCTACGGGTCATGGGTTGAGGGGATATAGCCAGACCGCTTATTCTCAAAGCGATCTTAGAGCTAGGATGTCCTGGGGATTTATCTTCCAACACTGTTTCTAGGATATCCTAGCGCTAAGATTGTTTCGAGAATACATATGGCCAGGACCTCCAGCGTTACAAAATTATGGAAAGTTGAAATAAATAGTCAGTTTTTAGACCTATCTAACACGTGTGGGTTAAACACAAAAACAAGATTGGGAATTTACCTACTGTTTGGCCACAACACTTACAGAATCGCATTTCGCTAAAAAAAAATTATGGATTGACATATCAACTTTAAAAGTGAATTGGGAGTCTTAGATTGTCATTAGGTTGTCTTCGCCTTGATAAAGCTGTCAACCACTAAAACAGATTTTCAGTCATAATTTCTGTTTTTATGTAGTCGGTTCACACCCCCTTTAAAGGAAAACAACAGTCAAATTTATTAACATTAAGTTAATCAAAACCTATATTTTTCTGGATGAAATTATACAAATCAAGCGACCCTACCTTCAAGTTAGATTTCGGAAATTTAATATGTACATCCTTGAATGGGCGCGGCCATTTTAGTTTTCGTCGTTTGTTGACAATGTCGTCATTACTCTCCATCGTGCGAGTCTACTTTGTCAAATGAAATCCAGAAATGAAGAGAAGTCATATTTCAGAAGAGTATTTGTCACTTGGTCAAGGTGACCAGTGTCCACCTCTGGTTAATTGACTCACTGCAGATTTATTTTGGGACGTTCAAGTAGTCAGCCGTCAATTATATCTGTCAACGAGTGTACAGTCTAATGAACGAGACAGAGCCCGTTATTATTACCCCTTTGTCTTATTAAATCATTTGGCTTGTTCCGTGTCCAGTGTTGGTACAACTGATCTGAACTTAAATCCCTAATCAGCCCTGCAATCAATTGGACAAACTTTAAGACGCACTTTATTGTTTTAACTGAACAAGTCCTGTCATATCAATAGCCTTGCCTTCAATGAGTAAGTGGGAGCCGCTGTGGCTTAGTTAAATATCAACTACCAAACCAACAGCACAGAATCATTCCAATTGAACCAACAACTACCTAGTCTGTGATATCAGCATCCGCTGGAAGCGAACGTTAACTTGTCATCTACCTATCTTTTGACTTAGTTAATTTGACGCTATCTTGCCGAAGGTCCAGGGTTCAATTCCGACACATACCTTCGTATATGTTAATCCGGTTTCACCCTGTCATTGATGTGGATCTGAGGGGATGACACAGAAAAAGTCTTGCCGTCCGGGTGGGACAAAAAACAAAGGACAGTGGTTTTAACTAGGCGGTAATTTTTGGGCCACCTTCGGCCATTAAAATGAAAAATGTATCCTACTTCCACTTAAAATCGTGTTGAATGCTTTTCACATTAGGTAGGGTAGGCACCCGCTCGGATGCCCACCTCCCTCCCCCATCGATGAAGTACTTGCTACGCCACCGATCGAGAACCTGTATTGCCGTATAGGTTGAGGAAACCTCAAATATTCATGACAAGATCATGTGATGCTATTAATAACTAGAGCTCATCTCAAACACCTGACACGTCTTTCTGGTATAAAATCCTCACCAGGACAATCAGCGTATAAGGGGAGGATACTTTTCAATAAAAGAACAAACAGCTCCCAGATTATCTGTGACATTTTGAGTCCCTATTTTCATTCTAATATCAAAATCAGTCTTACCATAATTTTGTTGAGCGGCATTTTAGTAACAATCCCTTTTCCGAACTACTCCCTGTACTGTCACAAACATCAAACAAAGGCAAAACAATATAAAATTGATACTATAATTTCGTAAACTTACACCTAAAGCAATTCATTTTCACCAAGATTAGATCATAGCCTAAGGCGCAATCACAACGTTTGCCGAGAGCTGACTAATTTTTTTCAAAGGTTCCCAACACTTATTTTTAGATACACTTAAATTTAATTTTGAAACGTTAATAGAAATGTTAAATGTTTACATTTATTGCATTTGTAAGGGCGCTATTGTGCACACCCTTCGTTTTGTTTTAAATGCAAATACGTGTATTTTTAGATTTTTAATACGTCGTGTAAAATACAGCTAATTTTTATGATTATATTTCTTTACAACGGCTGCAGCTGTGCCGTTAAAGTCTTACGTGTGTGTGTAAACTATATAACTCCGATTCTAATCCGTCGTTTGTGGTTTCTGACATTCCAAAAAAATTTGACCAAACTACTTTTACGTATCTTTTAAAAATGTGTAAATAATCACTGATTCGGACAAGATCTTACGCCGAAAACTTTCACAAATGTATCCTTAAAGATCGACGTCAATTCTTATCTAGAAGTCCACAAGAAATACTCTCTTTGTATCCTTTTAGACAGTAGAATTCTGCACTTCAAAATTATGGGAGTCCCAAAAAAGTTCAAAATAACACAAAGTTTCACATACGACAAATATGACACCAAATTAAATTTATTTGAGTGTAAGTGTAAGCCGGATATAAGAACAGAACACCCGTCGTGATATCTAAAGTCAGAAAGGAAGGTCAATTACACTTTGACATATATTGAGTCATCTAGACAATGAACAGAGGCATAACAATGCTTAATAATATAAGAGTGCATGACAAGTACGCAATTGCCTTACAAACATACAAGCATCAACTAATACTGGCTATAGCCGGCCTCGGACGTGATATCTTCACTGTTAAGGTCTTGATGGATTCTTTAATATTTTAGTTTTGTATCTACAGACGAACATGAAAAATGGGAACGGGTAGGACCATAATTGTCAGGCTAGCTTTTCACCTGTTGAAAACCCCTATACTAAAACCTCTTTTCTTACATACAAAAATATTTACCAACCTGATGAAGTTTTTTCTTAATTGAAAATTTCTTGGGTGGTTGAGCAATGAGTGGAATGCCATTTAAAGCCAATGCTATGGAGTCCCTTCTGATATGGGAAGCCAATCCGACAGGGTTACTGCCTACGGATATATCAGATTTGTTCGTCGTAGAACCATTCGATTCAAATGATACTCTACTCCATCGTCGTCCGTGTTGACTTTTAAGTTGATCTTGGACATCTTCCTCGAATCCACCAAATGTTATTCGTCTTCCACTGCCTCCTTTGTTACCCCTGATCCGCTTCAGGTGACTGTAATCCTCTGGAGTATCAAGATCGAAAGAAACGGAGGACACTTTCCGTTCCTTTTCAGGCGCAGGGGATGCTTCAACTGTGCTAGGGGAACCCCCATATTCACTAGTATCCTCTTCAGAATTTTCCTTGTGGATTTTTGGTCCGTCGTAAACAACGCCTCTACGTCGTCTATTCTTTGCAGATACGTTTCCTAAGTACAGCTCGTTGATTTCCTCGTCCGATAACGTCTCCGTTCTGTTACGGTACTCATCCGTGATAGAATCGGGAGACAACGATGCTCCGGAATCCGAGCCATTACTTCCTGTTGCATTGACGTCGACCGTAACCTCTGAGGTTTTGTTTTCTTCTCGAACGTCCTCAGAGCTTATACCACTGTCATCGGAGACGGAAATAGTTTGTTGAGGAATTTGATCGGGAAGATTCGATGATGCTGGCATCTGGCTAAATGAGGATGCTGATGAAGGTTCGTCATCCGGAGTAGTGATTTCAATTTCTGGTTTATCAACCACCATGGCCACTTACGATCATAAAATGAATAAATTAAAGAATAAATTAGCATATATTTGCATATAATTGATTCACACATTTGCAACAGAAAAAAGCATGACTAACTGCAGAAATATGTTTATAAATCTCTGTTATTTCGTTAGCTGAGGCAGTTTTCATAGCAAAATTGTTCTTACGACATACTCAAGACTCTAGTTGTTTTAATCTGATTGATACATCCTGTCTGTAATGTAAATATATATGTAAATTAGAATGTTATTGGATAATGTAAATATGTTTGTCTATTATTTGTGGATATCGCGTCTTAAATGTAAATTTTTGAATGTTATTGGATTTTGTAAATATGTTTGTCTATATTTTAAGTATTTGAATATTATTTGATATAGCACAGTGTGTCTATTATTATCAGATAAGGTAAATATGTGTGTCCATCCTGTCTATAATGTGTCATAAATTATTTTTTTATTATTTAGTAAATATACATATCTGTTTTGACTAGAAATTGATATTATTGTGTCTATATTGTAAATATGTGAGTCTATTTTGACTGAAAATGTAAATTGTGTCTATATTGTAAATATGTGAGTCTATTTTGACTGAAAATGTAAATTGTGTCTATATTGTAAATATGTGAGTCTATTTTGACTGAAAATGTAAATTGTGTCTATATTGTAAATATGTGAGTCTATTTTGAATAATGATGATATTGAATCATATGTATCGTAAAACTGCATTTTTATTTATATAAATGGTCCAAGATCTGCTCTCTTGTGTAACTAAAAGACTTCAAAATTTAAAACGTATTTATCTCCCTTTTCATATACAAATGGACCGAACCATATAAAAAATCAACACTAATTTCTTGTATCCATGTCTTTCTCCCTGTCATTTAAAGAAACCCTCATCCTTATCATTTACACATCATTTTCACTCCCCCCACTCCCTTTGTCATTTTTGCATCCCTAAATTCGGTCTAATTTTACATTTTAACGCCTGATGTTTCGATTTCTTTTAAAGGGATAGTAAAGCGGTTTCCTAAATTCGTATGTGTATTGAGGACACAGACGTCTGTGGTTCCTGCAATTCCAGTTTAGGATCTACCAGCTGGTCCTTGGCCAAACCTCTTGGCATTGATGGCCAACCCTCTTTTACGTGGAAGCTTAAGGGTTGAGAAATCCACAATCACGTGATATTTTGATTGACAGTAAGCTTTAAGTTCTAGGTAAGATATATCGCTTTGTTAACTCCACCCACTGCTTAACCACGCAAATTTTACTTAATATGATCTAACTATTACATAATCATGAACATTCATTTCTTCTATTTGATCGGACTATTTGAATTCGAAAAGATAGACTACACTGCATTAAACACTTAAATTTCTAAATACCTAAAATATCATCCTGACATGAAGTAGAGTTTACGTCCTACTTGGGCTACAGATTGTAGATTTAGATTCAAAATCAATTAGATTGTATTGTTAGAAATATATTCATAACATATTTTTATTATGCAAGTAGGTATTTTATATAGTTGTAGTTGCAAGCTTCAGAACAACAATTAGTGATGGTTTTCATGGACAATTTAGGTACCAACAAATTTTGATGTATATATCTTAAGCTACGAGGGAAGGGAGGGTACATTGTTGAAAGCTGTGCTGCTATGGCCTCTCCCAGAGAAATCACGCTGACCCAGCTTCGCAGTCCCTTCTCATTTCAAGTTCTTAAATATCTGGTGCTTTATTCGGGTCATGACACGGCCCCCCTCGGGCCAAAAATTCGTTCTACTTTCACTATCAAAATCGCGTAAGGTGTTTTCTCCGCCGGTCATTTTCCAGGAGGAGTCCCCTACCTCCCAACATGACCAGTACCCTTAAAAATCCTCAAAGGGACTCCCACACCGCCCCCCTCCCCGCCCCACTGCTTCAATGAAATCCTCACTACGCCGCTACTTCAAAGGTTGAAATACTATAACCATATTGAACGTCTTATTGCGCAATTATGCAATTGAGTAGTACAATATGTTTATTTTTCATAGTTTAAGGATGTTCTCGTTGAATTCATTGAAATGTGACATGTTTTCCTCGCATTTAACTTAAAAGATAATATCCTTATAACCAATTCAATAGACGTTTATGGCCTCTGTATGGTGTATGAGAGACAATTCAAGCTTCTATTTGTGTTGGAACAGACTTATCGAAAATGAATAATTTTGTATGAAACGAAGAGCTTGTGTTCAGTTCGTCGTTACTGTTGGATTATTGTCGGTAAAGATTCCTCGAAATTTGGAATCGATAAAGGGTAAGCTTAGTTTATTGCTCATCCGAACGACTAGACGTTATTCCATGTCAACCCGCCCGACCTGTATCACTGACAGGGGGAAACCGGGGTGACAATCAGTAGTATATATCGACATATGGCGGGATTGAAACCTGGACGCTAAGGTCTCGATTTGCTTTATATTCAACTGTTTTATTGTAGATTACAGATTTTTATGTTTTAAAGTTCATTCTAAGTACCCTGTGATTCATCTACTGTTTTAAATGAATCCTACCTCTTAGACATAAAATTTAAAATCTCAAACTTGGTCAACAAGTGTATTTATTCACCAGTTGGATTTACCAGGTACCATGACTAAACAATAGAATCTCTATATGACGATATATCTATTAAACTAAATAATTGTTGAAAAACACTTCTAAGCATGTTTCAAAATTACTTAGTTTACTGAACTATTACTTAGTTTTATTGATTTATTAGATTATAGAGGGATTCATTCGAGTAGTTTTGACACCAGGTAAGTGCATTGATGAACAAAAACTCGTTTTAAGATTTCAATTTTTTGTTCTTGGTAATCCACAGAGGTAGTATACCTTTAAGAAGCAAATCTTTTTATTATCGACCTTTGTCTCAGCTTTTTATAAACTTTTCACCTTTAAAACCGTTTTATGTGACTACAAGTCCAGTGAAGTGGCGAATTAGTACTATTGATATATGAATAGGTTTAAACGAATGAGTTCACGCAGTTTGGTGTGAATTAGTCTATATGTACCCGATTCGTGTGATCAACATTCGACGAGGAAATAAAGAGTGGCCACGTGAATTCTATGTATCATGAAATGTAAACTGAACCATATGGGGTTGTATTGTTTCCGTGAATATATATACATTTTCTTCAATGTAAACGTTTTGTAATAGTTGAGAATATCCAGTGTGTTTTTGAAACTTTATTCGATTTTCTATCTTTTTTTAGATTATTTACGTGATTTATACAACTGGAATGGAGTTTATCGTCCTACTGTTTTGCTAATGTTGACGGATGAACAGATATAGACAAGTAAGTATTTTGTATAGTTGCAAGTTATCAGTATTTAGGTTTTTTTTGGTTAAAGTGCTCGTATTTAGAGGTTCTTCGTCCTGCGGGGCATCCTTGAAAGTTCGTTGGATTTTCTATCTTCATTAGGATAGTTACGTTGAGATTTAGAACTGGAATGGAGTTTTACATCTAACTTTTCTGATCAAGATTTGGCTAATGAAAGCGGATGAACAGATTTAGCTTCAGATACAAGTAAGTATTTTGTATAGTTGCAAGTTATCAATATATATAGGTTTTTTTATGAAATCTTTGTTACTTGGATGGGATTTAGAAATGAAATGGAGTTTTACGCCCTACTATTTTGCTCCATATTAGGCTAATGTAGGCAGAAGAGAGAATGATTTTATTCGATATTCAAGTAAATATTTCGTGTACTGTCAAGTTTTTAAGACAATTGTAAGTGTTGGTGTTGCGTGGAGTATTCTTCGATAAAGAGTTCAGAATCAATTAGACTGTATTGTTACAAATACATGCATAACTTATTTCATTATGCACGTAAATATTTTGTATTGTTGAAACTTTTCATATTTTGTGTTGATATTTCTTGAATATTTAGTATAATATTTTTCGATTAAGAATTCGTATTTGGAAATGAAATAGAGTTTACGTCCTAATTGGGCTTCAGATTGTAGATTTAGATTCAAAATTAATTAAGATTGTATTGTTAGAAATATATTCATAACATATTTTTATTATGCAAGTAGGTATTTTATATAGTTGTAGTTGCAAGCTTCAGAGCAACAATTAGTGATGGTTTTCATGGACAATTTAGGTATTTGATCGTGCATTGTGCCAAGTTTTATGTTAGACTCTTAGACTCACAAACGGGAATTTTTTAGTCAAGCCAATCACTAATAGTAAGAGTCGTCTTTTCTTGAGACATTGCCATATAGAAAAGACATCTATAGAAATAGGAA